GGGGGGGGGGGGGGGGGAAGTCAAAAAAGGAGAAAAAAGATAGATATAATCCTTGGCCAAAGAGAGGTGCCAAGTCATCTTCTTTTTTCCCTCAATTATATTTATATATAGATTGATACAAGTAAATTTCTTTTGTATATTTTGTATTTGATTTATACATAATAATTATCTGTTTTACAACTTATTTACAACTTATCTACAACTTTCATACATTATTTCTATCCAGTTAAATACAACTACAATATCATACAACTTAAATACAATTATTATATCATTTTATATAATATAGTATATATTTTGTATCTGCTTTATACATAGTAAAAACAAATTTCATACAACTAATTATATATTATACAACTTATCTACAACTTTCATACATTATTTCTACTCAGTTATATACAACTACAATATCATACAACTCAAATATAATTTCTATACAATATTATTCAACTTTCATACAATATTTTAAAAAAAATTATAAACAACAGATATAATTTACCTACAATTTTACTACAACTTTACTACAATTTCGTAAGTATAATGTATATCATATCATCGGCTTCTTCTTTTTCTTCGAGTTTCAATCTGAAATTCAGCCAAAATCAAGTCTAATCTTCACTAAAATACCCTCAAAATCGAGATATAAACTCCAAACAATATTCTCAATTATTTGCAACAACACCCAATCCAAATAAATAATAGTTTTTGAAGAATTCAAAGGTTCAAAGCTTTTTAATGATTGTCAATGGTGGAGAGCCAAACACCTTCAAAATTTATTGATTGACAGTTTCAATTTGAACACCAATTATTCAACATTACTGGAATTTGAACACCAATTGTTGCAACACCTTCAACTTTACATTACTGGAATTTCAATAAGCATGGAATTGTTGTTCTCTTTCCCTTTGCTCTACGTTACTAAAATTTGGGATTGAGATATATATATATATATATATATATATATATATATATATATATATANAGATAGATAGAGAGAGAGAGAGAGAGAGAGAGAGAGACGGAGAGAGACAACGTAGAAGGGAGAGAGAATAAGGATGTGAAATAATTTATTTCTAATATAAAGGGATACTCATTTAATTCCTAAAGTGTAAATAATTGGTAAATTGTATATAAAATGTACAATTAAATAGAAACTTGAGTAGGGAGGGTAATAAAGTTTCAAATAGTGTATATGAATGTAAAAATTCCTATTAAAAATAGGTGACAAGGTAGCAAAAGGTGGTTACAAAAATTTCTTATGGGGCCTTTAATTTTGTGAGGCCCAAAGCGATCACTTTAGTGGCCTAGGGGTTAAGCCGTCTCTGACTCTTAATGGCGTGAGACCTTTTGAGAAAAACTATGCGGATTTGTCCCAAAGCGAATAATATCACATCAATATTAAAAGTATCTTTGAGCCGTTTTACCAACAAGAAGCACATCAGCGTTAGAGCCATACAACAAAATAAAAACTAGAGAATTGGGTTAAATGCATCGGAAGAAGCCCGTTTGCATGGTTCACATGCTTCTCACGGGCCAATTCCGTGAAATATAAGTATTTTCATATGTTTTAAATAGGGGTGTACAAAGGAAATCGAAAAACCGTACCAAATCGATAATCCAAGTCAAACCGAGAGAAAAAACCCGACTATGATTTGGTTTGGTGTTAGAAAAAAAACCCGATCATAATTGGTTTGGTTTTAACTAAAAAAAGTTAAATCGAAATCAAACCAACCCAACGTTACATGTATACAAGTTTTAAAATATTTATACATAAAAATAATTATTGTAATGTAATTTATAAATATTTTTTAACCTTTTTCATAGTTCTCTCTTTTAATGTATTATTTCAAGCTTTGATTTAGAACTTTTGAATGGTCAAATATGTTTTATAGCCCATAAAAATTAGTGACTCAATAAATTCCAAAGCAGAATCAAATCAATAAAAATATTAACAAAAAAATTCAATTCAAAAAAAATTCAATTCAATACTAGGAATGACAATAGTATTGGATATTTATTTTCTTAATTTTTCATTACTTTAGATAGTGAAAATACATAACTTACTTTTAATATTATTTAGTCATGTATTTAATACTTAGTACTTATTAGTCGTACTTATTTTAACATGATTTACTACTTTTAGATTATATTTATTTTTATTATGGCATATTAATTAACAATATTTATTTTATACGATTTGTTGACTATTTTAGTATAATCATGACTCATCTCACATTATTTTGTATTATTTTATTGGTTAACATCTTATATAGTTTTATCCTACTAGGACCTAAGAAATATTAGAGCATAAATTATAAATTTTATGCTATGAAGATCTTGTCGAAAAAAATCCGAAAAACCCGAGTTTTGTTGGTTTGGTTTAGTTTATAGATTTAAAAATCCGAGACAATTGATTTGGTTTGGTAATTGAAAAACCCGAACCAACCCGGTCCATGTATGCCCCTAGTTTTAAACATAATAGAGACCAAAATTTCTCGATTTGGTAAACATAAAGTACTAAAACTGCTCATATGTATAGTTTAAGGACTATTTTAGACTAATCCCAAAGATAACGAACTATTTTTGTTATTTTTCTGGTTATTTGATCGCTAATAGAAAACTTTGTTGCAGGTACCAAATATGAACTACCGAAGTACGTATTGAGCGAGCCAACGAACATGATAAGATACGATTGAGAAGATGAATAGTAGTTGAAGCATATGTTGTGTAATGTTCGTTTTTTCACAGTCTCAGTTTGGTTCTGTCACTTTCTTCTACCATCAACTATAACGTAATTCCACCTTAGTCGCTACCACATAACCCCTTTTTAAGTTTAAAGTGGCGAAACTGAAAGCACCAATTCCTTTTTTCGTTCATAGTCCAAATTAAATTTGCTAGGAATGTTAGGAGTTGGGATTCACGTTCTACCCAGTATTTGCTTCACATTTACTGGAACACTGAATAATTGGATGACGATTCCCATATTGAAATAAGTGTACAAGCCAACATTTTTCAAACTTTAGGTTATCTAGTGCTTTGGTAAATGTTATGCAAAGGAAGATATGGTATGAGGGCTTAAATGCTCTGCTTCTTACACGGTAAATTAATTTTTTTTCTTATTTTGACATGAAATTGACAGAGTGGCAAAATCCTAAGTGATCTGTCATAACTCAATGCCAATAAATCCTTCGGGGTGGCCGAGTTGGTTGAGCAAAAGACTTTCCAAATGGGAGATCTAGAGTTCGAAACCACTTGTATACCTTCTCTATCGAGCCCCTCGCACGGGACTCAATGCCAATAAATCCTTCGGGGTATCCGAGTTGGTTGGGCAAGGGACTTTCCAAATGGGAGATCTAGAGTTCGAAACCACATGCATACCTTCTCTATCGAGCCCGTTGCATGGGACTTGCCTAGTGTGAATTATCCTTCTGTGTAATTTGCGGGCTATTACACAGGAGCCGGGTTTAGCGGTGGATTTACCTTGTAGCAGCGGTTGAGGGTTCCTTGTTAACCAAAACTCAATGCCCAATAATTTCACCTTCTTGTTCTCTGTATTTCCAAGCAATTCGCACATAGTTCAACACTTTAATGATAAAATTAATTTTGTGCCTATACTTTTTCCGGTTTTCATTTCCTTTTAAAGCTAACTGCCTAACCATTTCCCTTTTTTGCGCTGATTTATCAGGAAAGTTCTTTTCATTTTTTCGAAATTGTTAGACTAGAAAGTTTCATTTTCGTGGCTCATTCATGCTAGTTGGGACTGTTAAGAATAACAATATTGTTCCTGGATTGAATGAATGCAATTTCAAAACCGTCAAAAAAGGTTGGCCATAACAAACTCAATCAAAATGAACAAACATTTCTAAATCTCAACTCCTCTCCACTTCACTCCTCGTACTAAATCCCATAATGACTGAAAACTTCAAGCAGATGATATCAAAATCATCATTTTGTCCGGCCGAAAAGATCGCCGGCAGCGATGATCTCTTAAAGGAAATTCTCTTACGATTACCCGCCAGTTCTGTTCTCCGTTTCAGTTGCGTCTCCCATCGCTGGCGTTTCTTCATCTCCGACCCTTATTTCCGGCAACTCCATTCTCGCCGGAGCGCCGCCATTACCGACGGCCTCTTCTTGTTCCGTAAATCCGACAAGAAGTACCACTTAGACCACCTCTTTAATTTCTCCGACACTAGTAAAAGAAAAGTTGTCCCTTCTAATATCCGCACTTTTACAGACAGCTTCCGTTCAGTTGAACCGTTGCACTGTTGTAATGGTTTGTTGTGCCTTAAGCTTCTTCAACTTGATAATGATGACGTGTTATATTGTGTTTATAACCCTCGTACAAATCGACACACTAATATTCCACTACCTGATATTAATGATGAAGAAGAAATTGTGTCAATGAATTTGGCTTTTGATCCGAAAAGGTCAAGCAATTACAAGATTATTTGCATTGTTAAAGAAAGATTAGGGTTTTTGAGGTGGTTGACTTTTTCTAATAATTGGAAGGAATCGGGTCAAGGGGTTCGGGTCAGAGGACAGTATTATTTTGGGAAAGGGGTATTTTTGAATGGTACTATATATTGGACCAGTAAACATTCAGCTTTTGTGTGCTTTGATATGGATAATGATAGTCTGAAAATAATGCCTAGTACTTCTGTTCCTGAGGGGCGTAACGGAAGAAAAATTAAGTATTTTGGTGAATCTGCTGGAAATTTGCATCTTATCGAGGAAAATGTGCTTCGGTCCACATTGCTCAATGTGTTTGAATTGGAGAATGATTATTCAAACTGGTACGTGAAATATGTTGTGGATGTTGATGATCTGACTCGTTTGTTTCCTCTAATGGTGATTAATGAGCCGGAGTCTCTTGATGTTATCGGTTACCAATTTGATGTGCTGTGTTTTGTTGATGGTGAGAAAGATGGGAAGACGATGCTCGTGTTGTCATTACCAGAAAAAATGATCTCTTATGATATTAAGAATATGAGTATTAAGGAGCTTCTGAATGTGCAGCTAGAAGAACTTCATCTCAGCATTGAAGGTTTTATTGTGTACAACTATAAATGGTATCATGCTTACAAGCATGTTGAAACACTTGCTCTTGTTTAGTTACTCTAATTAGCTTTTACCTTAGTTGGATTTTAGTAGGATCAATATTTGATGAAATAAACTTAGCTTGCTATTTGTGGCAATTTGACTTTGTGTGAAATGTTTATGCCCACATAAGATCAGTGGCGGAGCTAGAAGCCTTAATAGGGGTTTGGCCGAGCCCAATAGCTTTTGCTCAAATAGTATATTTGTGTTAAAAAATTCAATTTAGAACCCACTTTGTAGCTTTTAAAATTGTTGTTCTAAACTCCAGAATCCATAAGGTTGAAATTTTGGCTCCGCCTATGCATAAGATGGTGTCAAGATTTTGAGTCAATGGATGCAGAGTATTACCGTATCCATTATTTTTACAGATTACCTCTGTCACTGTGAATTAAGCTACAACCTTTTATCAACCAAATTGCCAGAGTTTTTCTTTGATTTATAGTTCAATTGAGTCATAACTATAGTAGTACTACTGAAGTAATCTTGAAATGCCACTGATGCACTGTGGTTATGTGGAGGGTCTAAGGTTTTTTCTTTTCTTTTTATCCCAACATTATGTATTTATATTGATAGTTTATGTGCATCTAAATTCTAAGGATAGCTACCAGTACAAGGTAATTGCAATCTGCTGCACTACTTCTATCCTTAATGCAAGATAGAGTCTTGTTTGTGGACTGATGCAGGACATTTATAACTGTAACTTAAAACACACACACACCATGATACTAGAGCGGACGGAGCTATTAATAATCAAGTGCTAGTAGTTGTTTTGAAATGAAACTGCAGATTGGTGGAAGCATCAATAGTCTCAGATGCAACTTGAGAATTCCCTTTGATTACCAAATCTTACACTCCGGATTATTCTAATATTCTTACTAGGTCATTTGCATTTCCTCTGCACCTAAAGAGAGCTCAATGCAGGACCATTGAAAATGTAAACCTCATCGTAACCCTTCCTGCACGACAAAAAGACAGAGACACATCAAATTACTGGAAATTGAGGTGATTGCTAACTAGGAATATCGAAATGCAGAACATCTTACCCAGCCTTTCCACTATAAGTGGGACTGTAATTGTAGATAAGGTTGTCAAGTACTTTTTGAGCATCCGGTTTATTAGAAGACTTTCTTGCTTCACTGCATTGTAAGATATATAAAAGAAGAGAAAGCTTGCAACCACAAGTACTATCTTTGAAAAAAAACATCTAACTGGTTCAGTTTACTTGTGAAAGACATTATGGTGCAAGAAAATACTCCTCTGAAGCTTCTGCCTAGTCGTTTCACGAAAACATAAACTCTAGTTCCATATTTGTCTAATGTGTTTCATTTTCTAAGTTTTCATTGGGATAATGCCATGAATTTAAACCAGATTCTCCTTTCCTTGGAGTACAAAAGGCTATAATAAGCAAAAGAGGTGTACCTGACAAAATAGTTGGCAACGAGTTGAGTCACTTGAACTGCATCCTCAGAATGTGGAATTGCTGCTGATCCCCATTCAAAAGCACTTTTCTGCAGTAATAAGAACAGTTAAGCCAGATAAATTTTACTCCATATAATTCTGTTTCGACTTTCACATTTAAGCTAAGTTCTGCCCTTCCTTTCAAGGAAATATAGGAGAAGTTCTTAAGAGAGTATACTACCCAATTTAGCTCCTAACTAAGGAGATCAACTAACAACTTTTGTTGTCATTGCTGTTTTAGATGAAGTCTCTAAAGGAAATCGCGATACAACAGAGAAACAATGATACTACACCAATTTAATTCTGTCATTAGATCATTTGTGAGACCTATCAAGTAAGAGTATCTCACATCGCAATAAGTTTAGAGCTGAGGTAATAGAGCACAGTTTGGAAGACTCAGAATGTAAGCAACAAATTCAATTACATTTACAATATACTATCTTGGATTTAATAAGACGACAAATAATCATAACTATCCATATTTCAGTAGAAGATCATGGTACCTCTGGGTGCCACTGTAAAGCAGTTATGGGATAGTTTTCTGCTTGAAGAGTAGAAACAAAGACCTGATTCATCAATTAAGAATTTAGATGATCACTCATTGTGTTGAAAATTACAGTTCCAAAATCTTTACGTTCGATAAGACTTAGAAAACACTCATATGTATGCCAAAAGGGGAGGAATTGAAGGAGGCAACTGAATATATAGACTATATATGTACCTTGTTGCGTGTATCTGTGCTAGTAGTCAACATAATGAAAAAGCTAGATAGATCATCATTTGCTTGAAACTTTTCTGGTGATAAACCATACTGTTGTATGAGGGAAACATAAAAGGATCAGTCACATTGAAGCATTTTACAAGTGTCAGCCAAGAAGAAGAAAATAAATAGACAAACTATTGTCATGATCTCACATGGAAAGATGTATTGTTTTCCCAGTGTCACTATAAATCGACAAACTATTGTCATGATCTCACATGGAAAGATGTATTGTTTTCCCAGTGTCACTATAAAATTTTCAGTGCTAAAGAACTGCAAACACATTTTCTAGGACTCACCTTGTTTCTTTGTAGCACAAGGCATTCCTTACTCAACTTCTTTATTAATGTAGGTGGGAATCTGCATCAAACATATTACCCAAAATAAACAACCCTCCTCTACATAATGCAAAATGCAATTTTCCACAGTTGTCAAAAAAATTCAAATCAAACATACTACTCCACTTTTGACTAATCACTATTCCAGATGTCTAGCTCCTAATCATTTAATTTAACACCCTAGTATACAACACAACTGCAGTATTGATCCATATTTGTTTTCGGTCCTTGGTTAATAATGACATTGGCAAATAACTAGTAAGTAATAATTAAAATTAGAAATACCTCCCAAATACTGTATCTTCAATATTCACGGTTTCCACGAAATGAAGTTTAGATGCCTGATTTGATACACTGAATTTCTCAAGAATATTGTTGTCCTGTTACAAAGGAAGTCAAAAAATGGAAACAGCAACTGTCAGAATTACTCAATAGCTAAAACAGCCTTAATAAAAATGTAACAATTTTTTTCTATAACTTATTGAGTTTGAAAACCAAGATGACAAATAATGTGATACAACATATTTTCATAGAAAAGAAAAAAAGGACAGCCCGGTGCACTAAGTCCTAATTCCTGAATTACCTTGGAGACGATCATCATCAAAAGCTCAAATCCGAGGTTGATAGCGAGGAGAGGGAAATGTTCACCGGCATCATTCTTCTCCAAAACTTTCTGTAATTATCAGGAAGAAAAATATAGAAATATTAGAACATATTATAGTTAAATTGGTAATTTTCTGTTAACTCAGTTTCAGCTTCCTTCAAAAAATTTCTCTAATATGACAGATGAGAATTATTTACGAAATAGTGACAAATTTACTTCAGGATAAATTTTCGATAAGGTAAGTATTTACCTTGAAAATTGCTTTGACAGTCTCAAAATATTTACCCTTCCTCGCCCACCCTCCTGGGAAGATCACGCCATTAACTAGATCAAGTTTCTGCAAATAAACATCGACGTTAGCAACTTATGGGAAAATGAAAGATCTTTCAAAAACTAGGTTCCAATTTTTTTCTTTTTTTCTTTTTCAGGCCAATAAATATGTCAGGGTCATAACTTGGAAATATTTGTTGGCCTGAAAAAGAAGAAACTGAACCTGTATATCTAGTGACCGAAAATAAATTCCTATATCTAGAATTCTAGATTATATGTACTGTATAAATTAAGAACTATTTACCATGTTTGGTATATTCATGCTTGACTTATGCATGACCCTTTCGTTAAAACTCATTGTTATTTGCTATTTTCCAGTCTTTATTGGATCATCTGAATTTAAGAAATTTTTGTGTGCAGTTTTCTTTAGTGACATCTTTTGCTTTGACTAATGTGACCTTTTTTTTTAAGACCTCGTGGAATTAGTCGTGGTGTGCGTAAGCTGGATCAGACATCATAGTTATTAAAAAAAATGACATTTATATAGTACAATCTGTTTACCAATTTATTATTTATATCTGCGATAATTACTCGTGCAGACTTCATTAAGAATTCCAAACACAACTACTACTAAATTTACTATCCTAAATTTTGGGGGGAAAAAAATCCTAGATGTTTCAGTCTTTCGGACTTATAATTACTAACAAGGGAAAATTCAATTGACGCAAGTTGGGTGAAGTTTCTTTTTGTTTTACAAATTAATAACCCAAAATCTTACGCTTTTTAGATCCACAAACATTTTGAAAAACGTTCTTCTTTTTTGCTATTTCACGACAAAATAATTTAACGGATATCAAAGTGGGTCTTAAGCAAATCTAATAAAAACTAGAGACTAGAAAAGTACATACATGATATACAAATCTAAATAATAAAATATTGCAACCAAAACTTTTAGAAGAGGAATTAGGAGGAATTTATTTAGTTTGAGGTTCGTAAGCTTGAATACTTCCCCTTTACTAGCATGTCACTTAAAATACACTACTTAATTAAATTTGACGTGATGCCTTTTGCCTTTCATACTACTACATTAATATTTTCTTCCACATGCTACTTATACATTAATAGGTCAAGGTAATAGTTTATACTCGATATGCGTTTAATATAACATATATAGTATCATATAAAATATGACTATAAAGAGTAATAACCAATATTGTTTTATAAAATAAAAAAATTAAATACGATGCAATCATGCAAAAGCTTTAATTAAAATAGGTGACTAAACTTGATTGAGAACTTGAGGAGAATCGTCAAACAAAAGTGGAATGACCCTAGCACCAGCCGACTCGACAAACTTGACATACGAAGCAGCAACGTACGAAACGCTGGTGGAATTAACTATGCGACCCGAGGCTCCGTCACCGGGATGGCTAATAATCCCGATCACTGGCCGGTAATTAAGTCTAGGGTCCGGCACAGGACAGCCGGCGGGGACAGACAACTCCGACGACGACTCAATGGCGGTAGCCACTACCGCCACGAAAAGAGAGATAGTGATGAAATAGTAGTTCGACATTTTTTGTGAAGATGACGATATTCTAGAGTATACACTATTGAGTTTATATAGGAAAAGATTAACTTCTATGCTCTAATTGTGTTGAGAATTTTTATATTATCCGTCTTAAAATTTTGTACAGAACTTATAAACATAGATCAATAGACTTATCT